AAGTCAAGGGTAATGAGGACTTTTAACATATCATGAAATAGAATATAGGCCTTAAGAACTTTTAATATTAATTGCCTATTTGACCAGTATTGATTTATTTTATAGTTTGCTACAAGATTATTTTCAACAATACATTCACACAATAAAATATTTTACATGTATACTAAAAACTTCTTCATACTTTTTAATCACATGAACTCCTAAAATCACCATTCAAAATTCCTTTTTTTCTTTTTTAATTACAATAATGGTTGTCAAAAGGGCTCTAAGTGTACACATTTTAATCAAAAAGGGTAAATAGCACAAAACGTCCCTTCCTTTTAATGTTATTGTGCAAAACGTCCATACATTTTGTTTTTTGACATTTTTACTCCTATTTTCACTTTTCATTGCGCACAAAGTCATTTTTATTCATTTTTCCAATAAAAAAGACAATTTTACCCCCCATTCAAATATAACAAAACGAAAAAAAAGAAAAGAAAAATAAAAGGCTAATTGCAACTATAACCCCAAAATTTCAAATAAGTATATATTTGTGACTTATTTCTATTTTTTAAAAATTTGTGATTATAGTTGCAATATAGCTCTTTATTTTTCTATTCTTTTCTTTTTGTTTTATGTGAATATGGGGTAAAATCGTCTTTTTATTGAAAAAATTGATGAAAATGACTTTTTGCGTAATGAAATGTGGAAATAGAGATAAAAATGCCAAAAATGAAAGGTAGAAACGTTTTACACAATAACATGAAAGGTATGAACATTTTGTGTTATTTATCCTAATCAAAAACTTTGATTAACTAGGCTTTTAACCAATTTTTCTTTATTTATTCTTAACATATCCATAAAAAGTTACTTACGAGGGTGTTTAACACCCATTTTTAGGGAAAAATGAATTTTAGAATAGTAGATTGATCGAAAATATGTGGATGAAATTTTTTTGATTTACGTGTAATATTATTTTAATGAAGAATGTGTGGTTGAAAGATGAGAGATAAATGCATTTTGAGAAAAATGGAAATCAAACAGACTTCACGAATTCAATAGAAGTCACCCACTTAAAATAAAAATTTTAATTAAATTCATATCATACAGTGAAATTCATAATTGTTGAGCACAACAACAAGAAGATTAAAAAGTGAGATCAACATAAAAATAACAAAAAATCCCAAGTGTTCTGTTTTAGAGAAGTTTGGATCATTATTTTTAATTTTTGTCATTATATAGAGAGTTTAATCGTTTACCAAATTTTAGTTATCTATAATTAATTAAATATCACATCAAGTGAAAATTATTTTTTGGACGATTCTATTACTATTATTCAATTATTTCAATAATAAATCACTTTTCGTTTTCTAATATGTATTTAATTATTTTAATAATATCATACTTTTTATTTTTCAATATGTATTTCATTTATTAATCATTTGAATCATTTGAACAATATTATCCTTAAATATTTTGCCAACTAATTAGTTAGGAAAATTCTATTTGTACATAATTATTGCACATAATGACATATCCATAATGTGATATGACAATTATCCGGTTGTTGATGTGCAAGTGTGAGATTTGAATTAAAAGTTGGATCCAGTGCCACGTGTAATTATAAACACCATTATGTAGACAATTATGTACATGTAACACTTCTTTTAAACAAATATGAAGAAATGATGATATTCATTGAATGTAAGTTCAGATCAAAAGGGTAAATGAAGGGATTAATCTAATTGAGTTCTTCAACTATTTAAATTACTTTCACAAACTGATTTTTATTTCATTTGAATCAAAAGTTCATTTCACATAAACAATTTGTATTAATTATTTTTTATATTTTCATATCTTTCAATATTTTTTTTATTCCACCTATAAAATATTTTAGATTAACATAAAATGGACGATTCTATCTTTACTATTATTCAATTATTTCAATAATATCCCACTTTTAGTTTTTTAATATGTATTTAATTATTTCTATAATATTATATTTTTCATTTTTCAATATATATTTAATTTATTAATCATTTGAACAATATTATTATTAATTATTTTGTTAACTATTTGATTATGATAAATAAATATATGATGCACTCGTTGTAAGTATTATGCCCTAGGTTCAATCAACTTTGAACATAAATACTTTTATATATAATTAATGCAATTAAATGACAGATCTATTATTTAATTAATAGACAATTAANATTAGATCAAAATAATATTTCACGTTGTTAGGCATCGTGGTCGGGAACCTAATGGGTCGCACACAAAAGAGAATTGGAAGATTTCAAATTGCCAATTGGTTAATTTAACAATCGTTAGATGAATTAATTAATTGGATTTGTTATTTATATTCCTGAATTAATTAATTGGATTAATTAATTCACGGACTGGGTTTAATTAATTGGATTAATTAAATATTGGACCGGACTGGACCGAACCCGTTTGGGTTTATATAAATACATAGCTAGGGTTTGAGATCCATATGGTTTTCATTATTCATGCTGACACAAGAGAAAACCCTAGAAGTTGCAATCTTATTCTCTGTGTGGATCACCGTTGGAGGCTGGACAATTGGACAGCTGTGGTGGCAAATCAAGGTTGATGGAATTGAAAGAAAAGCAAAGAAGTTTGCAGATCTGGAAAATGTACAATCTTATCACAATTTCTATCTAAACACAAAGGCGATTTTTGGTGGGAATCGAAAATTATTTTAAATTCCGATGTGCATGTATAAGTAGATTCCCAACACTTGTTACCTTACTTTTCGTTTTTGAATATATATTTAATTTATTTAATTATATTTGACAAATTCATTACATTTTCGTTTTTCTATATGTATTTGATTTATTTAAAAATTTGAACAATATTATTATAAATTATTTTGTCAATTATTTAGTTATGATCAATGTGCATTTGACAAATTCATTTCACTTGATTGGATACTAAATTAAATTCATCAAATCTTTTTTGAAATAAAAGATGAATGCTTTAATAGTTTTCTTCCAATTGATTTTTTAAATGAATGTTAAAGTATAGAGAAAGTCAATGGAGGGGGAGCTGGAGGTGGAGGACAAAATGCGTACCTCTAATAAATAATGTCAATTGTTATATTCAATGCATATTGAGTAATATGAAGAAGTGGTGACATTCGTTTAATGTTCAATTCCAATAAATGGGATGACTATTCTAATTGACTTCCTTAACTATTTAAATTGTTTTCACTAACTGGTCTATATTTGAATCAAAAGTTCATTTCACATAAATAATTTTTGTTAATTATTTTTTACATTCTCACGTCTTACAATATTATTTTTATAACACTTATAAAATATTTCAGAATAAGTTCAACTATAACTAGTTGCTTTATATATAAGTGGTAAGACTTAATAAAAGTTAGTAGAATTTGATTATACTAAAAATGGTTTAGAAATTTCTCTCAATAATCTCTCTTTCTTGACATTCATGAGCAAATCAACAAGTTTAAATTTTCACATAAAATTTTAATTTTTTCTATAAGTTTTTGCCATGTTAATAAAAATTTAGAATTATGAGAGTCTATTTATCATACACTTCCGTTCTCTTACTCTTAGTGAAAAGTCTAATCTTATCCATTTTGAAAAGAATTTTAAGGATCACATTTGGAGGGAGTCATAAGTAAGATTGTCCTGCCGAATCAACACGTGGGCAATCTATTTATTGTAATAGGTATTCAAGTCTTGTCATCTTTTCAAGTTTGCAAGGTTGGGCAGCGTGTTTACTGTTGGGGGTGGAACCGTTTGGAGATTGACAGGGGTTATTTTATGTTTATTTTGTTTTCTTATGTATTAATTTAATATAAAATTAATTGAATACTAGTCTTTCCAATTAATGATTGGAAAAAACCCCGCTGTCACCCAAAAATAACCCTTAATGATTTGACTTTTTAACTTCAAGACAATTTTGGAGGGTGGAATTGTTAATTCAAATAGATTTATGAAGAGAATTCGAAACAATTTTGATTAAATTAAGTGGTATTGCTTGAGTCTGTAGATATTAAAATAATATTTTTAGTAGATTTCGATAAAAGTTGAGTTGAAAAGTTGTGGATCACATAAAGAATAATTTTAAGTGTACATAATTTGGTTTACCTACTCTCACAAACACGTGGACTCCGTGTGAATAAAATAATCACAACATGTGATCCCCACACCCCTATTGTGAGTATATGTAAAGTATTAGGTAAAAAAAATTAAGTACATCTAGCATGATCCTCACATAAAACGTATGGTTAAAATTAATTGCTGATTTTGATTTTAGCTATATGTGTGGTTAAAATTAATTGTTGATTTTGATTTAAACTATACTTTAATTTTCACCAAACAGGGGATAGGAGTATCTCACAGTTTTACATTTGGAACTTGTTTGAGTCCTATTAAAAGTCTAAAAAGTAATTGATAGAGAATGTACAGTTAAAAAATAAGAAAACGTTTTGAATTTACATCTAATATTATTTTATTCAATAATGCGTGGTTAAAAAAATAGAGATAAAAATGTATTTTGAAAGGTTGTGTTATATTTAATTAGTTAACCCCTTCTTGGGATATATTTTAATGTGATTTTGGAAGAAAATGCATTTTGGAATGCTAATTTTTTGGTAGAACGTATGTTTAAAAGATTAAAAAAATAAATAAATTTGGATTTATGTATAATATTATTTTATGGAAGAATGTCTAATTGAAAATGAATTTAAGAAAAAATACATTTTGAAAACAATGAAGTCCGAACCAGGTTTAATTTAAACGATTTAATTTATAAATAGATAGATAATATTTGTTAGTTCATCGAAATCTTGGTTAAAATTGAAATTTTACCATTTTCAAAATAATTTATAAATTTTATGAAATGGAGGCTTAGATAAACAACGTTATGATTTTGAATATTTTTTAGATAGTACTGCTCGGAAAGAAGTAACTTAAAATAATAAAATTGAGAAGAAAAAAGGCTTCTTTGCATCCGGTTGATAGTTATTTGTGTCACAATCAATTCCACTTTCTTAGAACAAGAAGCTGGTGATTTTGAAGCAAAATCTCCAATAAAATATCACCTCAGCATCTTCGCATCTCTCCGTGGAATCTCTTTTCCTCTACTTGCACGACAGCTACACACACACATATATGGCGGCTAATTAATTTGGTTCTTGCCCACTTCTTGTTATACATGCTGGAAAGAGAAAAAAATATCATATAAATATAGTGATATAACGTCACATTTCTGGGTTGTGGATTGTGGGCTGTGCTTCATCCTGGTCAGGTACATTCGTGTTGTTAGTTGACATATGGAGGTGTGAAATAAATGTGGATTTGCACAAGAAATTATTAATTGGCTCAGTTTCTTGAGTGCCCATTTAGAAGCCATTTCTTGATAACGTAGTCATATAAATTGTGATTCTGTAGTCTGTGTGATGAAAAGAAAAAGAGTAATCAGGAGAATTTTGAAAAAATGAAATCTTTTAGTATATCAAATGAGGGCATCTGATGGCCCAATTTTAGTTGTCATTTCTTGAATAATTGATAATTATCCATTACTGTGATCCTGTGCTGTAATTGTGTTCAATAGTTGATCTATTGAAATAGGAAATGGGTAAGAATCGATGGAATTATGCGGGAATGAAATCATTTTTGTATATCAAATGAGGCCATTTGATGACTCAATTTAGTTTGCAATTCTTGATAGTTAATAATATAATTAAGATCCTGTGCTTAAATTGTGTCTTATAGTTGATTTGGTGAACAGAAAATGGTTGATAATGAGAGGAATTTTACGGAAAAGAAATCTCATTGTATATCAGATGTGGATCCGAGGTCGTGTTCTTCATCAAAGGAAGGGAAAGGGAAGCAATTGTGGAAGAAGGTGAGGTACCGGTTGGTGGAGTACCATTCATTGCCTGGATATTTGAAGGACAATGAGTATATTCTCCGTCATTATAGATCTGAATGGCCTTTGAAGCAAACCTTGCTCAGCATTTTCACAATTCACAATGAGACCCTCAATGTTTGGACGTAAGTATTTTTTGTTCCTTGCATCTGATTTTGCTTAGATTTTGTAAAATATAGCTTCTTAGCCTACGTATTATTGTGATTTTGGTTATTCGAGATGGGAACTTTTATTGCAGATCTTCGATTATATATATTTTTTTATGTGCTTTTGCACAAAATTTTTTTATTGAGGCTCATGGTTTGCACGATTAATATATAATTTAGGCCTTTGATTTGATGCTACAAACATGTTGGGTAGAACTCACGATTAAAACTGACTTGTATGGAAATGCGCCACAATGGGCCCATGATCCCGCAAGGCAGAGCTTCCAAGAGGGAAATGACATTCAGAAGTAATCCTTACAGATGGAAAGTGTAGATGAACACCGGAGAAGCTGTGACGTTGTTTGTCATCTAAAAAGAGGTTTCGTGGAAAAAAAATGGTCCAAGAGAAGGGCTAAAAGGCTGAATTTAAGGGCATTTTTGGCTGTGTTTAAAGAAAGCAAGCAGAGACTTTGAAAGAAAGTAAATTTTGTTAAGGAAAAGTTATTTTGAAGATTATATTTTGCAAGATAACTAACTTAAAAGTAAATTTGATTTATTTAAGCACAACCAAACATCATCTTCAAAGTTACTTTTTTATAACTTTTTGTTCGGATTACAGATGTTGACTTAACTGTGAGGTTGATGGTAGCATCTTGGATTTACCGCTACTAGAGAACTGTGGACACTAGGTGTAAAATGAGTATGTAATAAGGGCTCGTTTTTATAAACAAAAGGAATCTTTATAGATAGAATGCAGGATCTCCAAAAGGTTCATATTTGACAAGCCAAAGTAGCACTGCCTTTGGTATAAGATGTCAAACTGATGCCCAATTCATTTTAACTCTGGTAGAGAAAATAGCTAATACGGAGCTCAGGGAGTCATTACACTCTGGGATCTCTATCCTTCCCTTAGTCTCCCATTACATGAAGGTCTCATTTATGTGTTACATTAGGTACCTTGTACTACCAGCCCCAGGATTATGTATTTTGCCTGTTTACAGAGAAGAAGACGAGAACATAATTATGAAGCTATATTTCCCTGCTCCAATGTCACAAGTCGGTATTAAAGGCAAAAAGCATCTAGGTACATCAAAAGCCATCATGGAATGGAATAAAGATGTATGATCTCTTCAGCATAATTTGGTGGCTTTAAGTGAAGGAATTTGATCGGTGGGACTTGCCCAAGATGAAATGGTTGATGAGCATGTGACTACATCTATCGAGTTTCTACCAGTATTTTCCAACCAAATCCAATTTTCAAACACTATTTTTCCCCTTCTCTCGCCAAAAATGAAGTTCATAAAGCATTAAGCCAAGGGGACACATTCTAAAGTTCTACAATTTCTTCTTCTTCATTTTTTTTTTTTTTTTTTTTTTTTTTTTTTTTTTTTTTTTTTTTTTTATGTTTTATTTAGATTACATTTACAAGTTCAATCTAAAATTTTAGATTACATTTGCAAGTTCTAATTTTTCGTGAAAGTCATCTATAATTTTTTTTTTCTTTTGCGGATAAGTCATTTGTTGCCATACCCATAAAAATGGAATATGGCTTTGTTGATTTGAGTGGAGTTGATATTTATATGGCTTCTTTTGATGAATTCTGCTCTTTTTTTATGATAAAGATGCTGGTGGTGCAGCTGATTTCATTTTTTTTAGTTTACTTCTGTGATCTGTGGTGCGTAGGTATTCCATCCTACTTAACCAAGAATCGCAACTTTTCCTTTGCAGGCATTTATTAGGGTTCTTCTTGTTCCTTTGTTTGACCATTTACACTGCTATGAACTCTCCAAAAGTGATGGACCTTTCCACCCTACACTTGCCTGAGGTGCTGAAGAAAGCTGATTTCCATAAATTGCAGATGGAACTTAGAACTTGTCTCCCATCATTGCCAAACATGCCTAATTTGCACAGATTTCAGCGGGAGTTAAATATTTCATTGCCTTCAATGGATTATCTACCATCCTTATCTAATTGGTATATTGTGGAACTCCTCTCTAACTGCTTGCCCGAGCGTTTTACCAACAGCAATCACACTGATGTGTGTGTTCTGGTACTTTTTCCTTCCTTGTGCACATTATTCTTATGGCAGGGATTATGCCCAACTCCAATTACAAGAAAAGTATTAAGAAAAAAACGTCATTATAAAATCTCATTCATAACATAGGAGATACGTCCACTCACCACTGCAGATTTCAATGTGAGAAGAAAGAGAATTATAATATTCATCTCATGCCTCTCATATTATATATGTCACTATTAAAGTTCTCTCATAAACAATAATTTATATATTTTTAGGGCTATTAGTGCAACCTAATAGTCTTGTGACGTGAAAAAAAGACTGTATATCTGTATATTTGCTAGCAGTGCAGTGATAAACATCTGGTTGAACTTTAGTACTTGGTATGCCAGATCAATTTGTTAGTAGTTTTATTTCATTCTTTTTTCCAAATTCTATTGTCAATTGTAGCTGCCAATCTCTTCTTTCTCAACTGTCAAACAAGTTCTTTTTTTACATTTTTGAGCCCATCTATCTCAATTCTGTTTAAGCTGCAGATAATCCTTAATCTAATTTCTTGATCTGTTATAGTAACTATACTTTCCTTGGCAGAATGTTTATTATCGTTGGTCTTAGCTACTAAACCAGTTGTTTCAAACTGCTCGAGTTACATCAAAAGCGTGTCTTTTACGGGGAATTTAAGTCTCTTATTCTGTCTCCACAATTTAATTTCTTGACAAAGGACAAAACACACCCACACACACATTAAAAAATTAAAAAAAAATTAAAAAAAAAAAAGAAGAGGCAAAAAATCAATCAAGCGACTATTGAAGTTTATATTGTTGCATTTTTGTGGGCATTAAGAGCTTCAATCCACAGATTTTTGCCAAATGGTAGATGTGTTAAATTTTCTGTATACTGATGATAGACTAACATAATATGCATTATATATTTAATTATCATTTTGCATTGCATTTCTCTCTATTGAATTATTGAAAGCAATGCTCGTATAAGGAATTTGAGATTTTGATTCCATAGTTGTATTTTCTTTCAGACATAAATTTGAAGTCTCAATTTATTAATTTAAGATTCTGGTTCTATTTTGCTTCTACAATTGCTTAGTTTCATCAAATTCCGTGGATTGGTTTATCACGCTGAAACTTTTTCTTTTAACTTCTCTACAAAGTTACAAGCTATTTCTTCGATGGTGAAGTTATATCGCTTGCTAATCTATTTTGTGTTGTTTAATGTTTGCAGCATAGCATGAAGGATGATGTTGCAAGCTTAATATCACCAGTTATGGTGAGGCCAATTACACGATGGCCGTTCTTTGCCTTCTTGGGGGGAGCCATGTTTTGCTTGTTAGCAAGCAGTACGTGCCACTTGCTTTCTTGTCATTCCGAGCGCTTATCTTACATTATGCTGAGGGTTGACTATGCTGGGATTGCTGCACTAATTACAACTTCCTTTTATCCTCTTGTCTACTATTCTTTCATGTGCTATCCAATCTTCTGCAATCTCTACATTGGGTTCATTACTCTTCTTGGAATCGGGACGATTTTGGTTTCACTTCTTCCAGTTTTCCAAACGCCCGAATATCGTGGGATTCGAGCATCTCTCTTCTCTGGGATGGGTGTATCTGGTGTAGCGCCTATTCTGCACAAGCTCGTCTTATTTTGGCACCAACCAGAGGCAATCCACACAACAGGGTACGAAATTTTGATGGGGGTGTTCTACGGTATTGGAGCATTAGTTTATGCCATGAGAGTTCCCGAGAGGTGGATGCCCGGAAAATTTGATATTGCAGGGCACAGTCACCAACTTTTTCATGTATTTGTGGTGGCTGGAGCTTACACGCATTACCGTGCAGGACTCATTTATCTGAGATGGCGAGAGGTGCATGGATGTTGAGATTTTACGAGAGAAGTTTTTTGTTGTAATGTGGTATGGATAGTCCATTTAGGTTGATTACATATATGCAACGTGAAAGACTTGCCGCTATTTGTTGTCTCGTAAACTTTTGTCATGCCATGTTTGGTGAGGTACTCTATAGTATTAGATAGTACTGAAGAAGAAAATAAGGTAAAAGTTTATCTATTGTGTTGTCCTGTCTGCACACCAAAATTTTCTTAGTGAATAGTTAGATTGCTTGATGTGTAGATGTAATGTCAAGAAGGGAACATTCTCTTGTTAAATGATGAAATTTGTGCTATCACTGTCAAACACACACACACACACACACACACACACACACATATAGAACACCCTTTGTGGGCTTGATAAAACTTTTCAATACTGTTGTGGTAAGATAACATTAATATTCTCTTGCAACATCAATAGTAAGAAAATTTTTTATTCTGCCCACAGAGGGCAGGAGTTCAATTTCATTCCAAGAAGTGAAATTGATTTACGAAGGCAAAAATCACAAATAGAAGATTGTTAATTAATTCAATTAAGACTAGAATAACAACGTAAATAGTTTAGTTTGTACGATAAGGATGCTCTGTTGGTTTGCCCATGCACCCATGTATATACATCCTTCTGTCTATTCACACAACTAGAAGTGTAAAATGGACTGACTCGGCTTTGTCAACATTGATAGAGCCTCAAGTCGGTCAGCAAGTTTTGCGAGTCAAGCCTGTTGAAAAATAATAGCAAATAATAGTGTTATCGTAATTTATATTTGGACAGAGTAACGACGTTTGGATGGTTTTGAATGGTCGAGGCAAGAGCTCGACTCTTTCTCCTTAAAACGATAATGTCCCACACTAGTACTAACGGTATTGCAGTACTCATTTCCCAAGATACAATGACCTCGTCTTGTAATAGTAGTACTCAAAATTACAAGACCCGACGAACCCGTAAAGTTTAGATCTCCCCCACACACACTAGATGACTGAAATGCACGAAAACTAATTTGCGAGGACCGAATTATAAAACAGAAATTATGCAATGACAAAGAGATAATTTCGGGAGAGTAGAAAATCAATTCTGATTTTTGGAATGAATAAAAATCGGGGTATGGGGGCCTATTTATAGATGTTGAAAGGTTGTGTCCCAACAGACACAACTGTCGAAAAGTTGTGTCCAAAAGATACAAACTGTTTGGACAGTCAACCGCCACTTTGGACAGTCAACCGCGACTTTGAAAGTCAACCGGCTAAATTCTAGAAGTACCGTACCACGAGTCACACACAGAAAATTCGGGGAAGGAAAAAAAATTAATAACATAAAATATATTATTATTATTATAATAATAAAATAATATAATTAAATGTTATTTTACCAAAAAATATACCAAGCCCAAGACCGTGTCGTGCCGGTCGGTCGGACGGACGGCGGCGACAGCGCGCGCACGTGGGCTTTGGTTTAACCTACTAGCATGTATGTTCTCTCCCCCTCAAAGATTATTGGTACCCCTTGGGGCCCAAACCCAAATCCCAAACTTGAGCTATATAAGGTAATTTATATTCTTCTAGTTTTCCTATGTGGGATTGGTATTTTCCAATTTCCCACAAATTTTATTTCAACATCAAGTGGGTATCTTTTGGCCTTAATTTCTCATTCACCCTAAATTGGTTTTGAGAAAATAAATATACCATATTAATCTACTCATGGAGTAGAACACATTCAGCCAAAGAAATCTTATTTCCGATTAACGGGACCCACTAAATTAATTGGTCAAAAGTTGGTCAAACCAACTAATTAAAACCAATTTTTCCAACAATCCCCCACATGAATGGAAATTAATGCAGTAGACTATGCAAACCCTATAGAGAGATCAGGCGGAATGTTATCGCATCTGGATAGGTACCTTATGGGTTTGAACCTTCCGTAGTAGAATAATATCGAATTTACTTGGCTAATCAGTGAACGCGGTGTCTTGAACTGTCAGCCATTTTTGTAAATCAAGACAATAGTATCAACACAATAACCTTCCTAACATTTTCGAGTTCTCATTGTTGTGTTCATTTTAGCCCTGAACAACTCTTGGATTTCATAAGTGCTTTAGAGAATTCAAGCCTTTGAAACATTCTCATAGAAGCGGCCACACTTCACACTTGTATAGGTGATCTCCTATTAAGAGTACCTGCTGTACTCCACTTAGGTAGTCCAAGATATAGGAATCATTAAAAGTATAACTTAACCTGAAACTTTCTGTAGATAGCACTTCCTTATCATAGGAATGGGTAGGAGTTAACTCCGAAGTGCTTATTGAATCTTCATAACTTAGTTGTCCCATTGAACCAAGATTTTGGGATCTCCAGTCAGCAAGGTTGGGTTACCATTACAAAGATTCTTATGTAGTAGGTTTTAAGCCCATTCCCCTTGATAGGTAGTATACTTGATCTCTTGGTAAGCCTTTGGTAAGCGGATCTGCCAGATTTTCTCTAGACTTTACATAATCTATGGAAATAATACCATTTGAGATCAACTGCTTAACTGTATTATGTCTTCAACGTATATGTCGAGACTTATCATTATACATACTACTTTGTGCACTACCGATAGCCGACTGACTATCACAATGTATACTAATTGCAGGCATAGGCTTAGGCCAACATGGAATATCCTCTAAAAAATTTCGAAGCCATTCTGTTTCCTCTCCAGCTTTATCTAAAGCTATGAATTCAGATTCCATTGTGGATCGAGCTATACATGTTTGTTTAGAGGATTTCCAAGATACAGCCGTACCACCAATGGTAAAAATATACCCACTAGTGGATTTTGAGTCTTTTGTATCTGATATTCAATTAGCATCACTGTATCCTTCTAATACAGCTGAATATCTCGTATAATGTAATCCAACATTTGAGGTGTATCGTAGATATCTTAGAACCCTTACCAGTGCTTTCCAATGGTCATTATTTGGGTTACTTGTATATCTACTAAGTTTGTTTACTGCATATGTAATATCCGGACGAGTGCAGTTTGTAATATACATTAGACTGCCTATTATCCGAGTGTATTCTAATTGAGATACGGGTTCGCCTTTATGTTTGGCCAAATGTAGACTTAAATCTACTAGTGTTTTAACTGGACTTTCATCATACATATTAAACTTTTTAAGTACAGTCTCAATATAGTGAGATTGAGACATTACAAGTCCCTCAGATGTTTTAAGAATTTTAATTCCTAATATTACATCTGCAATACCCATATCTTTCATGTCAAAATGTTTTGTCAACATTTTCTTGGTATTTGTTATCATATCATAACTACTACCCACAATTAGCATGTCATCAACGTATAGACATACAATTACATATGCATTAGGTGTGGTTTTAATATAGACACATTTATCACATTCGTTAATCTTAAAACCATTTGACAACATAGTTTTGTCTAATTTTGCATGCCATTGTTTTGGCGCTTGTTTTAGTCCATATAATGATTTAACGAGTCTACACACCTTTTTCTCCTGTCCAGGAGCGATGAACCCTTCGGGTTGTTCCATGTAAATTTCTTCTTCTAGCTTACCATTTAAGAAAGCTGTTTTGACGTCCATCTGATGGATTTCCAAATTATGCAATACTGCGATTGCAATTAGTACTCTAATTGATGTTATCCTTGTCACAAGTGAGTATGTATCGAAAAAATCAAGGCCTTCCCTTTGTTTGAATCCTTTAGCTACCAATCTGGCCTTGTATTTATCAACTGATCCATTAGTCTTTAATTTTCTTTTGAAAATCCATTTACAACCTAATGGTTTATTACCAGGTGGAAGATCTACCAATTCCCAGGTATGATTCTGCATAATAGAATCAATTTCACTATTGATAACCTCTTTCCAAAATGGAGTTTCTGGATTAGACATTGCTTCACTGAATGTCCTGGGCTCATTTTCTAACATATAAGTTAAAAAATCTGGACCAAAAGATGTAGATGTTTTGGTTCTTTTGCTGCGTCTTGGTTCTTCATCACTTTGAGAATTACTAATCGCAGAATCATAAGTTCGTTTTTGCGGGCTTATTTCTTTCCTATCTTTATAAGGAAACTTGTCTTCAAAAAATACAGTATTCCTAGATTCAATTATAGTATTTTCATGTATATCCGAAATGTCAGACTTATGTACGAGGAACCGATAAGCACTACTGTTATTAGCATATCCAATGAATATGCAATCGATAGTTTTAGGCCCTATTTTAATTTGTTTAGGCTTTGGTATTTGTACCTTAGCCAAACACCCCCACACTTTTAAGTATTTGTACGAAGGTTTATGACCTTTCCATACCTCATAAGGAGTTTCGTTCCTACCTTTGTGTGGTACTTTATTTAGAATGTGGTTAGCTGAGAGAATTGCTTCCCCCCACAAATTCTGTGGTAAACCAGAACTAACCAACATAGCGTTCATCATCTCTTTTAGAGTGCGATTTTTGCGTTCTGCAATACCGTTTGATTGAGGTGAATACGGAGCTGTAGTTTGATGAATAATCTCAGGATCTGAACAAAATTCATCAAATGGTGCTCCATATTCCCCACCTCTATCACTACGAATAACTTTTATTCGTTTGCTTAGTTGATTCTCAACCTCATTCTTGTACTGTTTAAATACTTCTAAAGTCTCGTCTTTACTCCTTAACAAAAAGACATAACAATACCTTGCGCAATCATTTATAAAAATAATAAAATACTTTTTACCTCCTCTAGTTTGCACAAACTTTAAATCACAAATATCACTGTGAATTAATTCTAGAGGATTCGAGTTCCTTTCAACTGAATGAAACGGTGTTTTTGCTAATTTAGCCTCTACACATGTTTCGCATCGATGATTTTGATCAAAGGACATTGAAGGTAATAAATCTAAACTTACTAATCTTCGTAATGTATTAACATTTACATGTCCTAACCTATCGTGCCATAAGTTAGAATACTCAATCAAGTAAGTAGAAGATTTATTTTTATTAATATCAAAATCACGGAGTCCAGGCATTACATTCAATTTGAATAGCCCATTGGCTAAGTACCCTTTGCCTACAAACATTCCATTTTTGGTGAGTACAACTTGTCAGATTCAAATACCAGCCTAAACCCATTCTTGCTTAAAAGAGCTCCGGATACCAAGTTTTTGCGAATATCGGGAACATGCAGCACATCGATGAGTGTTACTTCTTTCCCTGATGTCATTTTTAGCACTACTTTACCTAGACCAATAACTTTTGATGTTGCTGAGTTGCCCATGAAGAGTTGTCGTCCATTGATAGGAGTGTAAGATGAAAACATCTCCTTATCTGCACAAACGTGACGAGTAGCGCCAGTATCAATGAATCATTCTCTCGGATTATCCACCATGTTTGCTTCAAATACAACAGCCGAGAGCATTAGTTCAGACACTGCGTTAGACAGCCTATCTTCTTCAATCAAGTGCACTTGGTCCTTTTTGTTTTGCTTTTTCTACCGGCAGTCCTTTGCAATATGACCAGGCTTACCGCAGTTATAGCAATCTCCTTTGAATTTCTTGGCCTTGCTCTTTTGCTTGCTATTATTCGGGTGCTTCTTTTTCTTGCTAGTATTTGGCTCCACCAAATTGACTTTAACCTCTAGTTGCTGCTTTCCAGACTTCTTTTCAGCATTTCGATTGTCTTCCTCAATTCTTAATCTAACAATCAAATCTTCAAGTCCCATTTCCTTGCGTTTATGTTTCAGGTAGTTCTTGAAATCTTTCCACATTGGTGGTAATTTTTCGATAATTGCAGCTACCTGAAATGGTTCACAGAGCTTCATGCCTTCTGCATGTATATCGTGCAAGATAAGTTGTATCTCTTGGACTTGAGTCATTAATGTTTTAGAATCTACCATTTTGAAGTCCAGGAATTTACCTACAACGAATTTCTTCAATCCGGCATCTTCTATTTTGTACTTCTTTTCCAATGACTCCCATAGTAATTTAGCCGTTTTGACGGAACAGTATACGTTGTATAGCGTGTTGTCAAGGCAATTGAGGATGTAATTTCTGCAAAAGAAGTCACTATAACTCCAAGCATCAAATGCTGCTCGTTTTTGAGAATCTGTTTCCTTCTCCTCAACAGTTGGAGCATCCTCTTTCAAGATTTTGACCAGATTCAGAGTCGTGAGATAGAACAACATTTTCTGTTGCCATCTCTTAAAATCCACTCTCGTGAATTTTTTCGGTTTCTCCCCGTGAGCATTGTTAGGGGGTACGACAGACGTACTAGGGGGTACAACAGACGTACTATTACTTGCCATTATCATTTTAAGATTGTTGAAAAATAATAGCAAATATTAGTGTTACTGTAATTTATATTTGGGCAGAGTAACGACATTTGGATGGTTTTGAATGGTTGAGGCAAGAGTTCGACTCTTTCTCCTTAAAACGATAATGCCCCGCACTGGTACTAACGGTATTGCAGCACTCGTTTCCCAAGATACAAGGACCTCGTCTTATAATAGTAGTACTCCAAATTACAAGACCCGACGAACCCGTAAAGTTTAGATCTCTCCACACACTACATGACTGAAATGCACGAAAACTAATTTTCGAGGATTGAATTATAAAACAGAAATTATGCAAGGACAAAGGGATAACTTCGGGAGAGTAGAAAATCAATTCTGATTTTTGGAATGAATAAAAATCGGGGTATGGGGGCCTATTTATAGATGTTGAAAGGTTGTGTCCCAACAGACACAACTGTCGAAAAATTGTGTCCAAAAGACACAAACTGTTTGGACAGTCAACCGTCACTTTGGACAGTCAACCGCCACTTTGACAGTCAACCGGCTAAATTCTAGAAGTACCGTACCACGTGTCACACACAGAAAATTCGGGGAAGGAAAAAAATTAATAACATAAAATATATTATTATTATTATAATAATAATAAAATAATATAATTAAATGTTATTTGACCAAAAAAATACCAAGCCCACGACCCGTGACCGTGCCGTGCCAGCTGGTCGGACGGGCGGCGCGCACGTGGGCTTTGGCTTAACCTACTAGCATGTAGGTTCTCTCCCCCTCAAAGACTATTGGTACCCCTTGGGACCCAAACCCAAGTCCCAAACTTGAGCTATATAAGGTGGTTTATATTCTTCTAGTTTTCCTATGTGGGATTGGTATTTTCCAATTTTACACATATTTTATTTCAACATCAAGTGAGCATCTTTTGGTCTTAATTTCTCATTCACCCTAAATTGGTTTTGAGAAAATAAATATATCATATTAATCTACTCATGGAGTGATTAACAGGACCCACTAAATTAATTGGTCAAAAGTTGGTCAAACCAACTAATTAAAACCAATTTTTCCAACAAAGCCGACCTGGTTCCATTTTGGGCAGAGTAGATAATTTCCAATTCTTTTGTTGTTTAGTTGAGTCGAGTCGAGTTGAGTCGAGTCGAGTCGAGGTGCAGAATGTGTAGATTACTAACTTCAAACAGAGAACCCATAAAATTTACTCGGCCTCACGACGGGCCAACATTGCAGCCCGTACCAACGGTATTTTGGCCCAAAAATAGCCCATTTTGGGGTCAACAGCACATTTTTGTAGAAAATGCCAGTAGCAAGTGATCGCCAATGGGATTCTTACACGGGGATGCCTGTGATCCGCTGAGGATGAGCACATAATTCTTTTATAAATTGATTATTTTTAGTTGGGAAGTACTACATATACATAATTGTCTATATAATAGTATCCATAATTACACGTAACACTGGATCTAACATTTAATTCAAATCTCACACTTGAACATCAACAATCGTATGATTGCTACATCACATTATGGACACCATTAATTCATTATGTGCAATAATTATGTACAAGTAGAATTTTCCAACATTTAAGTAATAATAAAATTCTTATATTTTGACCTTAATTTGCGAGTGCACGAACTTAAAAAAAAAAAAAAGAAAAAAAATGAAGAAATCTTATCGTCTTATAGACTCCAAATTTTTAAGTAAAAAAAAAAAAAGGGAAGAAGAGAGAGAGAGAGAGACTTGTAATATAAGGCAAAGATTGACCTCTGCTGAAAGGTCGATTCAGTCGGACCAACATAGAGTCCAATTACATTACATTGTTGAAATTCATGTTGCACATTTGAAAGAGGTTGACCAACTTACTTTTCTCATGTACGTGATAAACAACTTCTAAAATATATTATATTGTTTGTTTAGTGATGCTTTTATATATGTATGAGTTATGAATCTCATAAAATATATAATTGGCAAGTAACAAGTTTTTATTAATCTTACGAAACAAGTGAATAGAAAGTAAGTTTGACCATTATTATTTCAATTTTGTCAAACATTTTCTAACTAATATTTAAGTTGGACATAGTAACAAACTATCACGTTCAAAAATAGATAGAAATAAGTGACAGATAAGTTAATTAATGTGTTGAAATATGTGCATAAAAATTTGATAACTTCCATGAAGAGAAAAAAAAAATATCAACATATTTTATTTTGTAGTACGAGAAATAATCTACGACTTCAAAACATTAGTTGAAAGATCCTTTCCTTCGGACAAATCTGGAAAATTATACTTCAGAAACAGTCAATACTTTAATTAGAAGAGTAAGAACGATCTTCCTCAAACCTACATTTCACGCTAGAAGGAACTACAGATGACAGAAAATCCTCATCCCAGTCGAATGCAACAATTTCAAAAATTTAAATTAACACCTTTTGTACACATCTTATGTGACCAATACGCTTCAGGATGTAAAGTAGAATGCATAGGAACAAGATCATAGTAATATTATACTCTAATTCGTGTCCGGGAAAATCTTTAAGAAACCATGGCATTGGCTTCATCTTCAACCTCCTCACCCACTGATACGTCACTGAACATATACTGGCTTTGATATTCCATCAAGTACTGTGTCGACCTCTTCACATCATAAAACAATTGGTACACTCGACTGATGTCTTCCATTTCCACAATCTTTCCCTTCCGTTTTTGGCAAGCCAATGCAGCAGATGTTATGAGGTGTATAGCATAACGTAAAGATGTGTCTATCCCAATCTTTGTCAGCAAAACTTTTGCATCTTCAGACATTTCTACGTCTTCCTCTTGGCTTCTTATGTCTAAAATTTTGCGAATTTCTTCTTCCGTGTAAGGTTGTGTGGAGATGATTAGTAAGCGATCAAGGAAATCAATTGGAATACCATGTGGGGATTTGTAGTTTGTGCCTCGAATTGTTGTAATTCCTCTGTTGGTGGCAACAACCAATATAGGTGCCATATCGTTTTCCAATGCTCGGTTGAGAAAAGAAAAGCACTCTATGTCAAGCATGTGAACTTCATCAATGAAAAGGACGCCTGGCACAATTTCTGCTTTCCCTTCTTCCCTCCACTCGGCAACCTTTGTGTCAATTTGTTCCCTAACTTCTGCACGAATTTCACCAGTATCGCCAGTAAAGAGAGCAAGAAATCCTTGGGTTCTGAAATTCAGACAAGAGACTTGATAAATAAAATTTCTTGTACAGTGTAGTAATTGTGGATACAACATAGTTCGAACAATAATATGTTGAATCTCTACCATCCAAGAAAATTTTCATGTACTCTGATACTACAGTTTAGGTTTCAGGCATTAGAAAGTTGAATAATGACAAAATACTGGCGTTTAATGTTAAAGAGATAAAAATACTGGTATGAAAGAAGCATAACCAAGGAAAACTGCCAAAACAAACTAGCTGACCCATCAACAGCATATGGATTCAATATGAACTTTGCCAAACAAAAGAAGTTCCCAACGTTAAATAATACAAAACACTAAAAATCAGCCAAACCATACACATAAATCGTAATAAAAAAACAACTAACATAAAAGAGTACCACGCCATGCTTCAACCTCCTTCCTAGTATCCGACAGTTCAGAAATACATAAAACCTTGAGGTGTAGCAACACAAAGTGGGGAATGATGTCCATCTCACAATCAGAAGAAATAAAAGCCACTTATATACAATATACTCAAAATTACGGGCTGGTGACTTTGTCCATTTTCAAAAACCTAAACAAAGTTATTATATTTCTTTCAAGTTTTTCATCAAATGAAATAATGTAATTTATCAGGGAACTTATTTGTTTCAGCTTGATAATTTTGAATCTTTTTGTTGCATGCAATAACAACAATGGTACAAATATTATGGGATTTTCAACATATTAATTGATGGAACTGTTGAAAATTTGTTCAGCATATCCTAGTAAACTATCAGCTGGCCACTGCATAAGAACTGGGTATGTACGTCTGTGGCTATATAGGACAAGCTAATGGTGGAATTGAAAGTCAAAGGGGGGCGCTTAATGCAAAACAGATTATATTTCTATTTGTTATTCCAAAAACAAAATGACAGAACCAAAGACATGCAAGCCATAGACTTAAAGAATGAGACAGTGTTCAACGCATAAATTTCACACCATAGCACTCGTTAATCCATTGTGTTTTCCCCCAATAGAGCCAAGGTCATGTGTTTTGCATCTTATGCACCAGATAAATGATAAAAAAAAAACAGAGAATATAAGAATGGAAGGAAATAAATAAGCCTTGGTATGCTCACGGGTGCCAAAGTACGGATGTATTCTGTACTTAGTTGTGCAAATGGCTGCTGATTGTTTTGAAATGTAAGGGAAGCAAACAATATGAATGGCTAAGGTGTCCAACGTTAAATCATTATTGTATTTATGTCGTTGAAGCATGCACAAAAGGTTGCAAGTTTCTTGCTGTCATAGCAGGTAGTTTCCTGACAAATTACATAATTCCAGATGGATAAATCTCCAACAATGTCAAGAAAAATAATATCTTATTATTATTGGGAAAACAAGAAAAAGAAACTATCCTACTACAGATACTGTAAACATATCCTCTTTATAATTTTTTTTCTTTTTTATTTTCCCGGTATACAGAATGTCATTTTTAATTTAATAAAATGGTAGTTTAGGATGTGAAATGAGTACAATTGATCATTGACTATTATATAATTACAAAAAATAGATGAATTACAAATTAACTCGTGGGAATGCCATAGATGTTCTATTCTTCTATCCCTTCCTGTTTCTTCCCTCCCTCGTCATATCTACCCTATCAAATTAAATCCAAAGGGCCAAGTTTAGGGTCAAGGAAACCCTACTCTTCCAAGTTGACAGGGTCAAGTTGTAGTCAACTAGGAGTGCCATAAATGTTTATTCTTTCTCCCCTTTTCTTCTTCTCCTCTCCTTTTGGTCCTTCTCTGCATTCAGGCACAAAAACTCATAAGTCATACTCAAGAAATTCATTCCTCTTGTTCACTCTGCTACTTAAATGACCCCAATCCCTGGACTACTCTCATATATGCTTCTCTTTTTTCATTTTCAATTTCCTCAAAAGACAAACAATGTGAATGGAACTCTGTAAAAATCAAGCGCTGACCAAGAACTTTATGCAGAGTGTGAACAAAGGCTGAAAATGAGAATTTTACTGCATTTATTTTTGACCAATGAAGTGAAAACCCCTTCAAGGAAATTCTGAAAGAAGACCTTTTGACCAATGAAGTGAAAACCCCTTCAAGGAAATTCTGAAAGAAGACCTTTTAATTTTCTCTGGCTTAGGAAAATTCCTATAACAGTAATTATAAGCTACCAAATTTTCACATTAATTTTGGAAATTGCTACTCAGCGTGCAGGTCAAATATAAATGTAACAAAAAAGACCTAAAGACAATCCTATCCAAACAATAAAAAAGGCTACAATGGAAATGAAGTCTCCTCAGTTAAATTGCCAAATGCCAGTGCTTGAAAATTTTGAGGGGTATTATGCCACTTTAAGTTCACAAATTGCCCAGTTTTCAAGTTTCAAAATAGACATGAGGTCCCGAATACATCACTCTATAAAAATAAAAATTCATGGTCAGATGATCATTAAGACCTTAATCATCTCAAGCATGTGCAAACATGATCTGATTATTGCCACAAGTTAAATATTCATAACATATGCGAAATTGAGGAAAAAAAGGTGGGATGGGAATAACTAACTGGTGCAGTGATGAAAGAACTCTGTAATGATACAGAATAAAAGTTAGATGAAACCGTTTTAAAGGGATCTAATTATCTATGAAACCTAACAAATCAGTATATTATTAGAGCTTAAAATTATAAACTTGCAACCTCCCATGAATATCACCAAAACCTTTAGCATTAGAAGTAACAAAATTGCAATTACACAATCCCATACAGCATATAATAGAAAAGAACCAATCTTTCAAAACATTAGGATAAGAAATTCAAACTGTTCAGCACAATTGCTTCTTGTATCAATGTAGCAGCCACAGAAAATTAAAATTAGCTGAAGATTGATTACACAGAGTAACTTACCCTAGCAAGAAACAAATATGGAAGTGCATTAACAGTCAGATTAGTGAAAAAGTACATCAGCCGATTGAGTTCATTCCCTTTTGAACAGTAATTTTATCTTTTTGTTGGAGAAGAAAGACTCGACAGGGTCAAGTCCACGCCAATATAATTTCAGAATACCATATAGAAAATGAAACAACCACACAACCAAACCCTTCAAAACATCTGGATAACAATGTAGCAACCACAAAGCATTAAAATTAGCAGTAGATTGATTGGATGGAGTAAGAGCACCTCCAATGCTAATGTTGATTGCACTAAAAAGGTTGTCACATAAGCTAAAAGACAATGTCAACAAAAATTACTCTCCAATGCAACATTTGGAGGACTATGTCCAGCTTATACTGCAAGAAAAAATAGACATTGTCATGGAGACCAACTAGAGGTAGAGGCTCTTCTAGACGGAATTTTTTTATCTTTTCTCTCTTCTGTTTATTAT